GAATAATAAAAAAGAGAGTACCAAGTCTATCTTATATGCCCTAGAACACTCTGGAAATATAAGTTAATAAAAAATTGAAAGTTGAAATGACCAGAAAATTCAAAGTAAAGTTGAATTTGAATAACATAGGGTGAAAAGATTCAAAGTTAAATACGAAAAAGAAAATTTTTAATATTAACAATTCAATATTTGTTATTTATCCTATGCTTGGATGTTTCATATTCAAAACAGCAAGATCATGTTTATTACAATCTTGAAGGGGAAAAAATAATGTTCAGTTTCATACATATTTACTAAAAAAAGTCTCAAGGATCTTGATGGGATCCATACTTATATTTCCAAGCCAAACAACACTTGTATGACTAGACTAAAAACAATGTATCCTATCATTCAAAGTTCCATTTCAAAATCTCCAAAAAACTCTGTACCTTTCTCCTTATAATCCATGTTTTTCTAGCTCCCATGCCTTATACTTTTTCCCCTTAAATTATACCTTCCTGTCTGTTGATCAAGTCTTACCTGCTCTTTAAGTCCTTATTTATACACCATTTTTCTAAGAACAATGTCTGATGCTATCTTGTCCTCATCAAATGAAAGTGATCATTCTCTGAACTCCCATAGCCTTTTCTCTATGCTTTTCTTGGCTAGTGTCCCAGGGTTAACCAAGACCATGCCCAGGTTCAGCGCATTTCTAGAACAGCTCACAGGACTGAGCCTATAGTCATACTCATGGCTATGAATTATTACAGTGAAAGGATACAAAGCAAAATCAACAACAGGAAAAGGTACATGCAGTGAAGTTCAGAGGAAATCAGGAGCAAACTTCCAGACTTCCTGAAGTATACTCCAAGTGGAGTCATACAGGATACGCCTAACTCCTACAGCAGTGTGCTGTGACAACAGATGTGAAGTGCTGTCTACCAGGGAAACTTATTAGAGATTCAGTGCCTAGAGTTTTTACCAGGGGTTGGTCATGTAGGCATACTTTGCCTAGCATGTACCAAAACTCCAGGCTCTCATAAGGAAAGCAAGCATTCAGGATCAGCCACACTTTCTTGCACAGTTTAGGTGCAGTGTACCATTCTTATCAGTTAGGGTGGTGCTCCTCTCCAAGTTCCCAGATACCAGCCAAGGGTCAGCCTGGCAGCAGGACTTCCTACAGATAAGTCTCAGGCCTGCTCTCTTATCTATTCTTCACATGGTGTTATAGTTTTACTCAATTTATATACATTTATATAAATAAATAATAATAATAAAATGTATATATAAATATCTGAAGTCCTTCACTGAAAGCTCACTGAGATATTGGAAGGCTTTTTTTAAATTGCTCCATCATTTCCACCATAGAATAAGGTTGCTGATGGGAGATAGCTCACTAATACTGATGATTAGAAGACCTGCTGATTTGGTAAGGGACTATAAGAAGTAGGCAGGAAAGGAGACTCAACGCTGTTAACCTATTCTGGATGGAGTTCTCTCTATTATCTGTGATTTTCCTTTATTAAAGGACCAGGGATGGCACAAACTTGATAGAAGTTAATGAAGACACCCATTGTGAATAAACTGCAACTGACTTAAGATAATTTATTATTGTTAATATATATACTTTCTTAGGAAACAGGAACATGCAGTAATTTTTTTTCAACAGAATGATCTTATATCACTAACATTTCACTTAATCCTAAAATCTTACTTATTCCTGTCCAGTCTACTATTCTTATTCCACTCAGAACACAATGCATGTATTATAACCCATGTCTCAAATTCACTTGCTTATGAAAACATTTACTAAGCACTTAAAGTTTTGTCACTAAGATATAAATATTAAGATCCCATAATAAGAATAGCTAATACTTATACTGTGTCAAGCACTGTTCTAAACACCAATCCAAGAGGTAGATATTGTTGGATATTCTTTTTTTATAGGTAGAGTTACTAAAGAAGTTAAATAACCATCCTAAGTAGTTCCTCTGCAGTCCATGTTCTTAATTACTCTGTTAACACATCCTTGAAAAGATCACAGTTACTTTTTGACATAAAATTATTTTGACAAAATTAGAGAAAAAAAATCTGTTCCACCTTGATGTTTTCTTCTCCACCACTAGAAGTTAAAGGACTCAAAGACAAGAAATAACTAGAGTTGGCAAGGATGTGGAGAAAAGGGAACCTTCCTGTTCTATTGGTGGCAATGTAATTGGTGCAGCCACTATGGAAAGCAGTATGGAGGTTGCTCAAAAACTAAAAATAGAAATTCCATATGACCCAGTAACTCCACTTCTCAGAATTTGCCCAAAGAAATAAAAATCCCTTATTCATAAAGATACATGTATTTCTGTGTTTATTGCCACATTAGTTACAATAGCCAAGATTTGGAAGCAACCAGAGCATCCATCAACAGATAAATGGATAAAGATGTGATTCATATACACAATGAAACATTATTTAGCTATAAAAAAGAAAGAAATCCTGCCATTTGTAACAACATGGATGGACCTGGAGAATATTACGCTAAATGAAATAAACTCGGCAGAGAAAGACAAATACCATATGATTTCACTTACATGTGGAATCTAAAAAAAAGCAGAACAAAATGAATGAATAGCAATAGACTCATAGACACTGAGAAGTGACTAGTAGTTACCATGGGGAAGGGATTGGGGTGGGCAGGTGAAATAGGTGAAGCAGATGAAGAGGCACACAATCTCAATCATAATATCAATTAGTCACAGGGATAAAGTGTAGCATAGGGAATATAGTCAATAGTTCTGTAACATATGTTGACAGATAGTACTACGCCAGTTGGGGTAAGGATTTAATAATACATCTAACTGTGGAATCACTATGTTGTATACTTGAAACCAATATAAAATGGTATATCAACTATACTTCAATAAAAAAACAATCAACCATCAATCAATTAATAAAAGTTAAAGGACTCAAATATTGCTAGATTTTACCATTTCATATTTCACAGTTATGCAGTCTTAATGAAGAGTTTATCACTTAGCAATTCATGAAAACTAATGAAGACTGAACAATGTATTTAGCACTGTGACTGCCACTCTAACATATATAAAAGGGAAGATATATTGGCTTAAATAAAATAAGATTATGCACACTGAAATCTTTTTATCTCTATGGATTTCTGATAGTTGAGTTTTGCTATGAAACAATGAGAGAGAGCTTTGTGTCTCTCTCTGAATGTAATGCATTTTTATCATGAATTGCCTCACACAGGGATGTAATTAAGATGCATCAGAGCCTGGAAAAAGAACTCATAGGAGGGTAACTACACTCCTGATTTTTTTATTTCTTAAAGAGCAAGTTAAAAGGCTAAAAGTTACAAACAAGCTGCGTTATGTCTAACTCAAACAGCAGCTTGGAAGTGCAGATATAAATTTCACCCTGGATGATGAAACCATATATTGTATGACAAAGGAGTTGTCAGTACTGTTTACAAGTTTCTCGCTCAACACTAACATTCGCGTTCAGAAAGATGACATTGTTCTACAGTTTCAGGCACAGCTCTTTATAATGTGCCCCAAATGACAGACATGTGAAAGGTATTCTTTTAATTTACAACTACTTTAGGCAACCTTCAGGTGATGGATATCATCACCCTCATGTCACAAACGAAGCAACTGTATCTCAGGGAGTTCAATGAATGTGTCAGGGTCACATAGGAAGTGACAGAGGAACAACTTACCTTCAGATCCCCTCTCCAAAGTTGGTGTACTCTTAACCACTAGGACATATTGCCTCTCCAGTATCTATGAAGTTACCCAGATTTGAATATAATTATAAATGTCCAGAATCAAGTATTAAGATATAATTCTTTTTTGGTTCTCTTACATTTTGTAAACAGAAAAATTCACTGCTTTTTTTCTGGACTATCTTTTTAAGGATGTTTGCATGGCAACACAGAGATACGGACTCGTGTGAAATAGTGCACAGGCATGCTTACTGTGTATTTTAAAAATTGGGGTTTCATAAGCATAGGGTTCCACTCCTGTAACCAACCCAGTGTGTTTGCAGATGTGACCTGACCATCTTGGCATTGTCTCAAAGCAAATGGCCTCCCCAAACTAGTTGAAGGAAATGATGGTATTCTTGGGCTATTGCTGTTTTTCAATGTGTGATAAAGTTCTTTGTTTCTGAAAACAAACCAAAGTGAAAACCTCCTTAAATTCAAAATAGATCTATGTTCTGTAGTGCCTACATTTTATTTGTTTTGGGGGTGTCCTCTTAGAGGAAAATAATATAAAATTTCATATACAAAACTAAGTTCAGGGCTGTGAGAAGGTGCTGGCAATTGAGGGTCCCTGTAATGAAAGTTCTATTCATGGTAAATCCATCTTTGTCTGAATTATATTTTTGGCAGTCATCATTTTCCAATTTGATAAATGGCTCTAAATGACTTTCCACTCCCTATGCACCAAGTCTGTACATCACATATAGTGGCTCATTCAAGAGAATAGCTCTTGATTTTTGTTTTCTAGGCAAAATATAAGCCTAGAATGTCTCTCCCATACCAAAATCTTTTCAACACTCTGGTGTCTTGCTCGAATTTTTCCAGAGTAGGGAATATTTTGTTTTATTCACCCACCAATGCTTTAAAGTAAATGTGACCAAACTTATGTCTTAAATTGATTTCTGAAATCAGTCCTGGTTAAATTCCACAGAGTTGAACCCAAACTCCTGGAAAAACTGAATTCATGGAAATTGTACCATGAATGTTGATACAATTTCAACTTCAGCATGACACCCTGAAAGTAGCAAATTATCTTTTGCATACAGCACTGAATAAGAAAAAATATCTAATTTTCTTGTGCAAAACTGTGTCCTTTTATTACATTAAAAGTTTAAAAGGGTTATAACCATAACCAACTCATATTTGTGTATTGCTCACAGATAACAATTACAAGGTAAACATGATAAAATATTAATTTGAACTCATAATATATGGACATCAATAAACAAGAAGAATATAATTCACTTACTTTTGAAATGTTACTTGACCGACTTGCAGATCTCCCTGGGGATTTGTCATTCTAGAAAATAAAATTACAGACATTAATTAAAAATATAGTAATAGTATTTACCTACCATTGAGGAAAGAAAGCAGAGCACATGCCAGCATGTAAATGTTTATTGTTTTGATTAATAGACATACAAACTCCTTACACAAGTTGGCTTTCCTCTTACAAAATTTTATTTCTCTAGTACATATCAGTGTTCTTTTGGAAATGTTTCAATCAACATCAGGGTATATATCAGTCTAAGAGTATTTCTCTAGAAAAATGATGCAGGGCCATTGAAATAAAATTGGAAATTGAAATATAGTATATTATTTCTCCTTTTGCTTTGGTTACCAGGAAATTCTGAGTAAATCCTTGTTTTCAGTGCCAGTAATTAGTGCCAACCAGGTACATGGTACATACATCTAACTTGTTTCTTCTAAAATGCATGTTATTTGTCATTTCTGTTATTTTACTTTAAAACTTTAGAAATTTAAGAGATACTTTTAAAATTTAAAACAACTGCTTAAATTTAAAATATTTTAAATTCTTTTAAAATTTAAAACTTAAAAGTAAGTTTTAAAAAATGATACCTTCAGTTCTTACCTCTTAAAGAATTTCCAATTTAGGAGAAAAGAAGCATGAAAAAGGTTTTTGAATGGTAATTTTTAAAAACAGTCATACAATTTCAAAGCAGAGAGGGTCCTGAAACAGTGGTATCCTCTCATTCAAAGCCCAGAGACACTGAGCTCCCAGCAGGCACAGAGCAGTCGGGCCCAGGCCAGCGGGAAGGCCTTTCTGTCTGGGCCCAGCCATGTTGCTCCTTCCATTCTGCCAGTTATCTGCTGGTGGGTAGCTGACTGACAAATTAGAATGAATGGGTATTATGCATTTTACTCATCAAGCGATCAGAGCACACCTTTCCTTCTGTAGGGAAAATGTTGGCAGAACCTGTTCTGGAAACTAAGGTTTGTGAAGGATCTGACTTAACACTTCCAGATACTTTTTCTAAATCTTCTGAGCATCTGGACTCAGCACCAAAGGAGACCTGAAGAGACAATTGCCAAGCATATTGACAGAGGTCACTTTTGAGAAGTAAGTTGTTATAACAATGTGAGCATCAGAAATCGCCCCATGATAACTGCTTGCGACAGCTTCAGAAACAGCTATGAGAGGTTTCGGCAAATGTACTGTTGTGGAAGAATAGTAGCTGCATTCACTGCAAAGGGTCACTGTGTCACACACAGGCTTGCAGGTATTTCTGCTGAACAGGACTTTTTCCTTCACATAACATCCATCTTCTACAACCACTGATGTCACTGCGGAGCATGTTATTACAGACCGAAATGAGTCACAATGATAGGATTAGTTACACCTCATAACAGCCCCATGATCCTGCTGGAGATTAATGTGTATGCTGCCCACAGACATTTTTCCTTGATTAGCTTCGGCTGGTGATGGAGAGATGCACTTTTCTACTGACATTTCAACTCCTCTTCTAGACTAGAAAACAAAACCAATACATCTTTCCTTCTCAGGGAAATTCAGAATTTTGACACACTATTTTATAGAACAGAGGTAAATAAGCCATGAGATATAATAGGTTTTGGGGAGTTTTGTAGTAGGGGTTGTTTTGTTTTCTACATTTACGTGGTGTTTGAGAATGTGATTAAGGAACTAGAATAGAAAGGTGCTTCAGCAAGAACCAAGAAGTAACATAGAAATTTAATTTGGAACTAGATTACTTACTTAACTTTGCAAACCAAATAGAACTTTGTGGTGCTTTCAGATAAAACAAAGAGGATCAGGTTCCCTGCACAATTGTGAATGAGTTCAGCACAGGGCTATGGTAAGCAGATAAGCCCCACACTCTTCACCAGCACCACCTGGTCCAGTGGAGGGGGAAGCATCTGCTTGACTATTTAGTACTTCAAGAGGTCTTTTATCTTGAAATCCATTGGTTCTATTTTCTACTAATTCAAGGTTAGTCATCAAAAGATATAATCAAGTTAGGCAAAGGGTATATTTTTTTGCCATGTTGCTTTTATTCTAGTTAAAATACGGGAACGGAGAACAGAAGCTGGGGATGTGCTCTGCTGGCTGTGGTGTCGATTGAGAGGCTGACTTGCAATTAGACCCGTGGTAGTGGACTTGTTCTAGCAGGAGTACATTGTTTAAGATTCCATAACTTCAACTTCCTCATTGCCGAATGGGAGAGATAATCTTCTGAATTGTTATAAGGATCAAATGAGTTGCAAATGAAAACATTTTATAGATTGTAAAGTTATAATACTTGTATTAATACTCACAGGTAAAGGAAATACCTGAAGAGTGTCCTTAAAAATCATGATGATCATCACAGGTTACTAGACTCAAAATTGTAAAGCAAACATCTTAGTTTCTCTGTGAAATTTTACCTCTATTGTGGATTTGATTCTGGCACATAAAATTAAAGAAAAATCAAAATTTTCTCTACCCTAGAGAACTAACTAAGTTTGGTCTGCCTTGCTTTTGAAGCAAAGCACCAGAAACACTTTCTCTCTTGGAAGACTTCCAAAGCAATCTGTCCAATTTGCTACTAATTAATTGGGTAGCTTGTCCCATTACTATTGAAATGACATATTTTTCTGTGCAGATTACTCAAACACAGTTGTTATACCTCATTATGATCTGTTTAAATTCTTTCCCTTAGATTAAATAGAAGTTGTCTCATAATCTAGCATAATTTACTGGTACCCAAATTACAGTGATCTATAGGTCACTAAAAGTGAAAACCAAGAACAGTTCCAGACAAGTTTGCAGGAGAAATATGGGATCATCAAGCAGTGAACTGTCTTAGCATATCTTCATAGCATGTAGAGGAAGAGACTTTTAATTTCATGAGTACTTTAAAACTTTTTTAATAAGTTTCTAATTTTCAGTTTGATATGAATATATCTGATATTGTTAGTTTTTTGGGATTATTATTGTTAATATAAGCTATATAAATTATTTAGTATATTTAATGTAGTAATAATTGAAAATAAAAATATTAATAATCATATATAATCATATTATTATAATAATTTTTTCAGATTTCATTTTACTTAACATTATTGGATTTTTATTACCAGCCCAGAAAAATGATTTCCAAGTGGGAAAATCATTAGTAAATTGTTTTAACATATTTTGATGCTATAATCTAAGGGAATTGACATGGTTCCTTTAAAGGGTATGGTCTGTGTTAAAAAATAAACAATATGGCTGCACATACATGTATGTATCTACATTTTAATACTTTGTATATTATACCATTGATCAGAAGAGGGCAGTAAGGGAGCTTAAGGGAGGTTTTGATGTAAACTGAAGGAAAAAACTACTCTTGAGTGGAGAAAACAGAATAAGACAATCTCACCCAGATTACTTATATGATGCTGTTCTATTTTCTCCTTTATCCCCCACCTGATCCCTGACCACACTACCTAAAAGGAATGAGTATTTGAGAGAAGGAGAAATAAAGCGGTAACTTTGAAGATCATCTGAAGAATTCTAGGTAGATAGTGGAGCTATTTTTGCTAGTAACTAAAGTTTATAATAGAAAAGTCTTCACAAGAAATATGGCTTATAAGCAAAGAGTAAACAAGGACATAGAAAAATTGAATAATGCAATAAAACCTCTTTCAGTAGAAACATAAACAGTCTCACATACATTAAATGAAAAATACTCTTTTTAATGTCTATGAAACATTTATAGTTTATTTGGATTCAAGTCATACCTTAACAAAAATCTTCAAGTAGAGATTTTACAGGACAGTTCATTTGATATTAAGGCAATAAAATTAGAAATAAATTCTGAGATGTGGAGAACAAATCTTAATCGCCTCAAAATAAACTAACATATTTTTAAATAATGCTTTGTCCAAATAAATCAAAACTCCATTAAAAATTATAGCCAACAACTCTACAAAATATCATACTAAGACCTATGGAACACAGAAAAGACAATACCCAGTTAAAAATGTAAATGTCTTCATTATTAAAGGACACAGCCATAAAAAAATTTTTTTAATGTAGTAGAAAGAAAATAGTAAAATATAAAAGTTAAAACTCATTTGGAGCATGGCTCAAGATAGCAGTGTGAGTAGGGCAGTGGAAATCTCCCAAAACCATGTATATTTTTGAAAATACAACAAATAACTACATTTTAATACTTTGTATATTATACCATTGATCAGAAGAGGGCAGTAAGGGAGCTTAAGGGAGGTTTTGATGTAAACTGAAGGAAAAAACTACTCTTGAGTGGAGAAAACAGAATAAGACAATCTCACCCAGATTACTTATATGATGCTGTTCTATTTTCTCCTTTATCCCCCACCTGATCCCTGACCACACTACCTAAAAGGAATGAGTATTTGAGAGAAGGAGAAATAAAGCGGTAACTTTGAAGATCATCTGAAGAATTCTAGGTAGATAGTGGAGCTATTTTTGCTAGTAACTAAAGTTTATAATAGAAAAGTCTTCACAAGCAATATGGCTTATAAGCAAAGAGTAAACAAGGACATAGAAAAATTGAATAATGCAATAAAACCTCTTTCAGTAGAAACATAAACAGTCTCACATACATTAAATGAAAAATACTCTTTTTAATGTCTATGAAACATTTATAGTTTATTTGGATTCAAGTCATACCTTAACAAAAATCTTCAAGTAGAGATTTTACAGGACAGTTCATTTGATATTAAGGCAATAAAATTAGAAATAAATTCTGAGATGTGGAGAACAAATCTTAATCGCCTCAAAATAAACTAACATATTTTTAAATAATGCTTTGTCCAAATAAATCAAAACTCCATTAAAAATTATAGCCAACAACTCTACAAAATATCATACTAAGACCTATGGAACACAGTAAAGACAATACCCAGTTAAAAATGTAAATGTCTTCATTATTAAAGGACACAGCCATAAAAAAATTTTTTTAATGTAGTAGAAAGAAAATAGTAAAATATAAAAGTTAAAACTCATTTGGAGCATGGCTCAAGATAGCAGTGTGA